GGGGAACTAAAATATTGATTTATGCTTCTTTGTTGCAGGTTAGCAGGCTTTGATGACATCTGACATTGGGTCTAACATTGAGGAGTAATTTTTTTGGTGTAAATAGAATAACTTTTGAACCCTTAATTTTTTTGGGAGAATAGTTGATAGAGAGGTTATCCTTTTTGTAAATGATGTTAACTGGGTAGGATATGTTTGTAATCTGAATGACAAGGAAACATTGGGTGGTGGTTTAATCTTAATGTTAACTTGTCATTTGAATACAAGTTATGTAACTTCTGTCATAAACGTACTGGTTTTTGGTAAATCTTATCACTTCAGTAGTCAATTACATTATACATGTAGTAAAGTCTGAATGTTAATATAAACATATTATGATGTTTTTCAGGTGCACTTGTATGCTATTTTGTCAACACATTTTTACCATTTGCTTAATTCCTCTAAGGGAGATGGTGGAAGTTGCTAATGGGCATGACCGGAGTGGTTAATTTGATTACAAATGCTGTTATTCACATTACAAATGTTGTTATTATCATTATCGGGGTAGTAAAATTGGCTGAAAATAGATGTTATTTGGGTTTGAAAGAAATGAGTTAACAAATGGCAATAGCGAGATAGTAACTCTTATTGCAAAAGTTGTAATTCACGTTATAAATATTATCATTATCATTATTATGGTAGTAAAATTGGCTCCAAATGCATGTTAAATTCATTTCACATTAACCAGTTGCAAATAATAATAGCGAAATTGTAACTCTCATTACGAAAGTTGTAATTCACGTTACAAATTTTGTCATTATCATTATCAGGAGTGTGAAATTAGCTCCAAATATATATTACTTGGGTTTGAAATAAACGAGTTGCAAATGGCAATAGCGAGATGATAACTCTCATTACAAAAATTGTAATTCATATTACAAATGTTGTCATTATTATTATCGGAGTAGTGAAATTGGCTCCAAATACATGTTACTTTGGTTTAAAATAAACGAGTTGCCAATGGCAATACGGAAGTGGTCACTTTCATTACGAATGTTGTTAATCCCATTACGTGTGTAGTGAAATTTGGGTCCAAATAGATGTAATTTGGGGTACAAATAATTGAGTTGCAAATGCCATGACAGAAGTTACAACTTTCATTATGCATGCTGTAATTATCATTACTTGTTTAGTGAAATTATTCCAAAAAAGATTTAAATTAAGCCAACAAATATCATAACTTACAACCTACAACCATAAGTCAAGTATTTTGACAATATCTGAACACTACTTTCACAAATACTATATGTTTAATTTATGTAATCTTTACTATTATCACAAATGCTGTCTTTTGGTCAGTGTGGTGGTTTCATTTGATAAAAATAAGCTCAATGCTTTGTCATGTCTTGAATTAAGGTCATGATTCACTAGTCACCACACGAATGCATAATTCAGTAACTTGAAATTGATTTTTCAGCTCCTACTTTGAGCTCACAGGCTGTAAAACAATCTGATTCAAACAGCACAATCATAATTCAACACTTAGAGACATAAATCATTATGTCCAAATCAGTTTTTAATCTCTAGCTCTTCAATCCTCAAACCAACAGTTTTTTTTTAAAAAAGAAAGGAAAATCAGTTTTATGCCTCGATACTTTAATTTCACAAGCATCAATTCACAAGCAATAACCCACATACTCATATATACACAAATATTTTACAAGTATTGAATTAGCTTTTAACCTTCAAAACATTTCAACTAGCAGTAATATATAATCTGTAAATTATTTTCACTTTCAGAACATGCTAATATATAATTCAGATTCATTAAACAATCTCTGAACACCATTATATTAGCTTCTAAATTTCCAAAACTTGAATCCCGCAACCTCAAGCATCAATAGCCCCAGCAGCAATGAACACACATGCTTGTAAGATGACATGCCATAGCTACTCACTACCCTGATAATGATAATAACAACATTTGTAATGTGAATAACAACATTTGTAATCAAATTAACCACTCCAGTCATGTCCATTGGCAACTTCCGCCATCTCTCTTGGAGGAATTAAGCAAATGGTAAAATGTGTTGACAAAATAGCATACAAGTGCACCTGAAAAACATCATAATATGTTTATATTAACATTCAGACTTTACTACATGTATAATGTAATTGACTACTGAAGTGATAAGATTTACCAAAAACCAGTACGTTTATGACAGAAGTTACATAACTTGTATTCAAATGACAAGTTAACATTAAGATTAAACCACCACCCAATGTTTCCTTGTCATTCAGATTACAAACATATCCTACCCAGTTAACATCATTTACAAAAAGGATAACCTCTCTATTAACTATTCTCCCAAAAAAATTAAGGGTTCAAAAGTTATTCTATTTACACCAAAAAAATTACTCCTCAATGTTAGACCCAATGTCAGATGTCATCAAAGCCTGCTAACCTGCAACAAAGAAGCATAAATCAATATTTTAGTTCCCCAATAATCAATTTCATTTATCTTTTGAAACACCCAAAAAATACACACACCCACTGATTCCAGTGACAACTTAAATATAGGATTTTACAATTTCACTAATGAATTTAACAACACTGACCACCTCATGTTTACTGTTTGTCACCATTTTTCCATTCCCGACGCGTCACTCTCTTGCCCTGGTCAAATTCTTCATCCAAACCCTCTACACTCACAGACCCATCCCATTTGAGCATGCAGCAACAAAGCGAGTCAAGAAATCGGGTGATACCAACGTTTTAACGGAAAAATTGCTTACCTTTTCCCTCTTTCCAGATTTCGACCCTTGCTCTAGCTTCGTCCTCTCAGCCTCTCTCTCTTCTGGTAAATTATTGTTTTCTTCCGGTTCATATCTTCAGAGAGGTTCAGGGCATTTTAGTCTTTCTACCGAATTGACAAAATTCCAGATTGATACCCCATGCCCATTTGGTCGTTTCAGTTATTTGCATACCCATTTTGTCATTTCAAATTTCAACAGTCATTTTTCTGTCATTTTCCTTTTTAAAATTGTGCCTTTTTGAATATCTATAATATGATTACCAACTCTTATAATGATATCTACGACTCCATTAACACTTTTAATCACTTTATATGATAGGTTTTTAAATTGAAAAGTTAGTACACGCCTGACATTAGATTTTTGAATATTGTTATAAAAGTTGGCAATCATGTTACAAATATTAAAAAGAAATCCAATTTAAAAACTTAAAAAACACGTGATTAATGACATCAATAGTTGTGATTATGAATATTGTTATAAGAGTTGTTAATCACATTATAGATTGTAAAAATTTCAAATTGAAAACATGAAAAACATGTGATCAATAACATTAATGGAGTTGTGAATATTGTGATAGGAGTTGTTAATTATGTTACGAATATTTTAAATTCCAAAGAAAGAAGTTGTTGTTTGCTAGCTCGTTGAGCTTTAGCATCAGTCATCAGCAGCCGTTAGCCAATGGAGCGGTGAAGGTGACTTGAACTTTTTTTCTTTTTTTTTTTAAAATAAGCAACATCGTGAATTCACCATTTTAAAATTCCAATTTAGTCTTATGACTAATTTAAAAATTTTCAAATTTAGATGACCTTTTAGGGTTTTGAAAATTTAACTATCATTTTTTTAAAATTTTTCCTTAATCAAATACAATTGAAATACTAGCATAGTTTTATCAAATACATGTATGAAACAACGGACATATAGTATTATAATATTCATAACACTCCTCCGTAAACATATACTCCTCCGGTTCTTAATATAAGACCTATTTAACTAATTTGATTAGATTAAAGAAGTTAGGTAAGTTAATTAATTATAAAAAATATGATATGTTTTTTCTAAAATACCATAATGATTGTTTTTAATATCCTTCCTCCCTCTTTTATTTGATTATGGTTGAGAGAGTATTTATAGGGGTAATTTAGAAAAAATTGATAAATATAAGAATAGGTCTTATATTTAGGATCAAAATCAACTCAACAATTAGGTCCTATATTAAGGACAAGAAGAGTATTATATATCATGTTTCAATCTGATCAAGTGGTTTCAGATTCAAACCTTTTGTTGCGTTTGACTTAGTTGTAGGGATTCTTTCAACATCCTTGTGTTGCATGAGGTTTGGTGCATGAAGTGGAGTAGCCAAAGATTCAGATTTTCAGGTTAACAATTTGTCCCCATCCTCTTAGAATCCTATTTCTCTTTTCTTCTCAAAATCCACTCTTCACCCTAGATTAAAAAACAGATGGTTTAGATATAATATTTTATAAAATATTATTAAAATATACATAAATAATTTAAACTATTAAAAATTAATATGGACAATTTATACCTATAGTACAACAAATTTAATTTATAAAATATTTTAATAATAGTTTTGTAAAATATTACATCTGAACTATTCATTTATAAAGAGATTATGAGAACAAAAGGAGAAAAAAGATTATGAGAAGATCCAAATTTAGATTGTAGTCACTTTTTGACCCGGTTAGTCTATATACTGCCAATCACCATGCAAGGGGTTCCTTTTTTCTTTTTTTAGATACATGTATTTTTTTATTAGAAGTAATCTTATTCGAGGTATTATTGGGTACTAAATGAGAAGATCTAAATCCAGGTTGCAATCATTTTTTGGTCTGGTTTGTCTATATATTGCCAATCACCATGTTAGGAGCTCTCTCTCTCTCTGCTTTTTTTTTTTTCCTTTCCTGCTAGACACATAATTCTCTTATTAAAAATAATTATATTCAAGACTTTATTAGATATTAAATGCTAGAGAAAATTTAAATCTTGGTTTGTCATGTTACAAGAGAATAATACTAACTCCTTTCACGTTAGGGGCTCTTTGTCCCTTGTTCTTGCTATTTGTTCTTTCATTTCGGCCCAAAGAAATAGCCTTCTCTTCCATTTTATCATCTTAGATCCATTATTTGTCTTCAGCCCAAGAGGAGGTTTACGACTCTCCTTCCCGGATATTCTGCCAGCTTCGTTTTGCCCCTTCCCCAAGTTTCCAGACAATATTTCTTTTCAGGAGCCGTGTGTGAAATTCGCGGGAGAATAATCCTTGATCGTTGTACCATCCTGGCTCAGTGCTCATTTCGTTGTTAATGGCAACCCGAAGAAATTTAAGACTAAGCAAACCCGCTTATGCTGTCATAAACGCGTCTAGGACCTCTCACAATTCTCCTTATCATTCTCGCTCCGCACTTGGTCCCCGTGAACGTGTTTTATCAGGCTGCCCTTCTACTTTAGCAAAGTCAAATGCTCAGAATTTCTTGTCTCAGGCTCAGATCACCGATAGAGCTGCACAGACTAATGCAGCCTCTGCCCAGTTTCTAACTTACTCTTTCACCCGCCAGTTCCACTCTTCTAATCCCTCGTACCGCTCCGCTGCCACAACTCAGGTTTTTATATCTGTTTCTCGTATTGATTAAACTTATATTAAAATTGGTAACTATCTGCCAAGTGAAGGGATTTGATCAGTCTGCATTGGTTTCATATTTTCCTGTTGGGTGATTTAAACTCTTTTTATTCGGGTGACTTTGCTAACCAGAGAATGTCAGCTTGATGCCTGTTGGCAATTCATTATATTACAATTCCGTTTTAGTTCAAGTGACAAAAATTGAATTAGTGGACTCAGCAGTTTGTGTGGATAATGTAGACTGTCACATTTCTCCCTCGTAAACTCGCTGTTTTTTTTATCCGAGTTATTCTTTCACGAAGCCTTTTATCAACTCTTTCCTCGTAGGATTGCTGAATCTTTATCGAGTAAGTTGTTTGTAGTCTTCATTGAACTGTTAGTGTACATTTGGACACTCGAGGGATTTCTTCTCACAAGACTTAAAAAGGGTTTGGAAGGAAAAATAAAGCTAAGTATATGTGGGAATTTACAGTCTTTTAGGTGTTACAGCGGCTTTGGTCGGAGAGCAACACTCTTAGCTTTGTTGGCATATTTTTCATTTGAGATGTGTGAAAAATAATATTTTATGGCTTCTGCTTTTTGTTCTACTCATGGATTATAATTCCAAGAGTGACTGGGCTGCTTCGGGTGATTATGGGGCCCGCAGAGATATCTTTCCTTATTAAGTTTTCTACGAAAGGATTGCTTATCCTCCTGATTTGTATCTTTTGCTTTGGGTGGTTATAATGTCTATTGTAATATGTGTTTCTAATATTTTGTTAGGAGGATTGTTTATCATCATGTTATTTCGTTTCTTTTTCCTTCCTCAGTAAAATGTAGTTTTCTAGTACAAAAACAGAAAGAAAGTCGGTAACTGTATTTTGAGCCCACTTGCAATCCCCTCTGTTGGTTTTTATACCTATATATAAAATTGAATGTGTTGAACGTTGTTTTCATATAATTGAGACCACTAAAACTGTCTGTTTTATGACTTAAGCTGTTAAGCCACCTGAAAGAATTAGGAAATTCAGGACAAGTTCTTCTTTGCTCTTCTTGGACCGATTATTAGCTGAAAGTAACTTTTTCATGAAATCCAATATTCCATCAATTAGCACACACTAGAGAATATAAGCCAAACGGTACTTTGTTATTTGTTGATTACTTTAATTTCTGGATCATGGCTCATGAGATGTAGCTAAACTTTTTTTAACTAAGAAAAATGATCATGGATTGTTTAAAAAGGTATGTTAATCTATGCGCTTATCCAACAAATGGAATGAGTGTGATTTTACACATTTTGCAAGTTAATGTGCTTTCTATCTTGTGTTTAGATTACCCCAGCAGAGTTCACAGAGCTTGCATGGGAGGGTATTATTGGTGCTATTGATGCTGCACGAGGTAGCAAACAACAAGTTGTGGAGTCTGAGCATCTAATGAAAGCCTTATTGGAGCAAAAAGATGGTCTAGCCCGACGAATATTTACCAAGGCAGAACTGGACAACACATCAGTTTTGCAGGCTACAGACGACTTCATATCTCAGCAACCAAAGGTGTGTTTCTGGTCATGGATGTTTGCAGCTATTGCAGAAAGCCCTACATCTAAATCTTGAATTTCATTTGATAGGTAACAGGTGACACAAGTGGACCAGTGATGGGTTCATACCTTGTTTCTCTCTTGGAAAATGCAAGAAAGCACAGGAAAGAAATGAAGGATGAATATGTTTCTGTTGAGCATTTTTTGTTGGCATTTCTATCGGATAAGAGGTTTGGGCAACAATTATTCAAGAACCTTAACATTAGTGAGAAAAGTTTGAAAGATGCTATCCAGGCTGTTCGTGGAAGTCAAAGAGTGACTGACCAAAGTAGGATATGTTTTGTTGATTGAAAAATAATTGTTTTTATGACACTAAGCCACTGCCAAATTTAGTATAAGAATAGGAACTTTGTTTGAATGACTGAAAAATAGTTCTAGTGTTGAATACATGCTTTCATCTAGTTATAATTGAAATGGGAGAAATGACCAAGCAGCAATTAAAAAATTGGTGGTACGATGGATATGTAGGTTTCAATTTTTTATTGGTCTGCATATATTTGTGGAGTATGTTCATTATTTACATCCCTGATTCTTGAGAAACTTACAAGTTATGAAGCAAGTCCTAATTCTCCTACTTTTACCAAAGTCTTCTCTTTCTTTCATTCATTGAGACTTTTTATTTTAACTTACTTTCAATGCTTATATGCTTATCAGTTTGTTTGTCCATCTTTTGTTTTGTTAGTCTCTAATGGCCTATTTATTTTTGATTGCCAATGTGATGCAGATCCTGAGGGAAAATATGAGGCGCTAGACAAATATGGAAATGACTTGACTGAACTTGCTAGGCGTGGCAAACTTGATCCTGTCATAGGTCGAGATGATGAAATTCGGCGTTGTATTCAGATACTGTCAAGAAGAACAAAAAATAACCCTGTAATTATCGGCGAACCTGGTGTTGGGAAAACTGCAATTGCTGAAGGGTTTGTCTAATCTCCTTTTATATAGGCTTTACATGTTCACCATAAAATGCCAGTTTGTTTGTTATCCGTATTTCTTTTTTATGAGTTAGGTCTATTAATCTTTCTGTGTTGATCTTGAGTACATTACAAGTAGTTATCTTCTTTTTATTGTAACAAAGCTCATCTGTTCTATATGAGTTCTTAATATTTCTATTTTATACATTCCTTGTATGCGTTTTAGTACAGTTTTGGCTTTTTAAACAAAAAATCTTTCCAAGCATTGAAGTATGCGAGGTGAATTAAGGATGTTATGATAGCATGAAGCTCATGCATTGTGTAAATGAATTTAGAATAATTTTGGATGAATAATTGTTCCCAAAAACAGTTGGTTCACATTCTAATGTATCTCATTTGTCTAGATAATTTGCCATTGGAAACTAAGTCAAGCTTCTGGATCAAGGCATGAATCCTTGAACAATGTGTATGCTAAAAGCTTTGATCTAGCCATTATATCTTAATATTGTTTAGAGGCCATGAGCTTGGCATGGGAATGCATCTAATGTTGCATGTTCACATCCATGATGTATTTATGGAACAGGTTGTGGGAGTCACGCTGCTTTTGAAACATTTGGTCTAAAAATTGAGCATGTGGTGCAATTCAAATATCTTTAATAGATCAGAATTTAAGTTTAACAACCTAATGTTGTTCTGACTTTTGTGGGGTTAATGTTTAATTGTTGGCTTTGCGATTTTTATTGAATTAGTTATGTACTCATTTCCTACATTTTATTGGACTAAAACAGTTCAATTTGTGCATCTCCTTGCAGATTAGCTCAAAGGATAGTGCGTGGAGATGTTCCTGAACCATTGTTGAACCGAAAGGTTGAACTTTGTTTTCTTCCCCTGGCTATGAAGTGATAATGGAATTCTGGCTGAAAAGAAGATAATGGAATTGGGCTTGCAATGGATTGCTTTTTATGTTGTTGCTTCTCCATCTAGGCCTTGCTTACTAAATCACATCAAGCAACGACATTAGCTGTAACACCTTGTAGCATCATACTCTCCTCACTGATTTTTTTCCCTTACAATTTAATTTTTTATTTGAAATGCTAGCATCTGACTTTCTAACTTATGATTATAGGCTGGAGAAGGGTGTCTAGGTAAGTATTTCCTCCAGCTTTGCCCTATAATTAGGACCAGAGGGAGTATGTCTATAGGATGAACAAGGGGATTTCCTAGTTCTAGAATATGCTTCAGCAAGCTTCACTCAGTTATAAGAAGACAAATAGTATGGGTGTTTAACTGAATACTCTCTTTGATCATACTTCCTTTTCAAAATATTCAATTCAACGTATAATCCGTGAATGTTTTCTTTTGAAAATGTCTTCCTATGATTGAAAATATTTCAATATGAGGCCATTTTAATCATTTTGAGACTTTTTTCTATCCATTAATGACGCCTTATGGCATGGGTTACATCATATCATTACTTGTTTTTCTACTGGTTTGAAATGCGAAGCCATGCTATTTTCGTTTGAATTTACTTACAATGTTATCTTTTGATGTTTGGTGTTGCATAGTTGATCTCCCTTGATATGGGTTCATTGGTTGCTGGTGCCAAGTTTCGTGGAGACTTTGAGGAAAGGTTGAAAGCTGTTCTTAAGGAAGTTACGGCTTCAAATGGGCAAATAATTTTATTTATTGATGAGATTCATACTGTTGTTGGTGCAGGTTGGTTACCTTGCTCTTGTGAAGTTTATGATTACTTCTTGACTCTAGGGATATGCTATTTTTCTTATTTACAGATCTCATACCCCTCATCTTGATTTCCTATTATCGTTGTTGTTTGTTATAATTTCAAACTAGCTCAGGTTGTGATTGTTTCCAACAAAGCATTCTAGATTAAAATAATTGTTTTTCTTTTCTAGTTTTGTTTATTCTGTGATCATTTGTTTACTAATAGGGGCTACAAGTGGTGCAATGGATGCTGGAAACTTATTGAAGCCGATGCTTGGGCGAGGCGAACTTCGATGTATTGGAGCAACTACACTAAATGAATACAGAAAGTACATTGAGAAGGATCCTGCACTCGAGCGTAGGTTTCAACAAGTGTTCTGTGGCCAACCCTCTGTTGGAGACACCATATCCATTCTTCGTGGTTTACGTGAACGTTATGAGTTGCATCATGGGGTAAAAATATCAGATAGCGCACTTGTATCAGCGGCCATTCTTGCAGATAGATATATAACAGAGCGTTTTCTGCCTGACAAAGGTCCGTGGTAATATTGTTGATTGAAAGAAAAGGTTTAGAGTTTGGAATTTTTATCTTGTAGTATGGAATCACTTCCAGTTGATTATTGTAGGCTTGGAAATTTTTTTTTTTCCTTCCTGCTTCTAATAAATCATTAGCTTCTTGTTTTCAGCCATTGATCTTGTTGATGAAGCTGCTGCAAAGCTAAAGATGGAGATTACATCAAAGCCAATTGAGTTGGATGAGATAGATAGAGCTATCCTTAAGTTGGAGATGGAAAAATTGTCTCTGAAAAATGACACTGATAAAGCATCCAAAGAAAGATTAAGTAAGCTTGAAAATGATTTGAGTTCACTTAAACAGAAGCAAAGAGAATTAGCAGAACAATGGGATCGTGAAAAGGCCTTGATGAATCGTATAAGATCAATTAAAGAAGAGGTAATGTTCAGTTCATTTGACATTATTAACTAAACTATTTTATTTGTAATACTGGGTTATACTGTTTAAATCACATGTAGATTGATAGAGTTAACCTAGAGATGGATGCTGCCTGGCGTGAGCAAGATCTTAATCGAGCTGCAGAGCTTAAATATGGAACTCTAGTATCCCTTCAGCGCCAATTAGAGCAATCTGAAAAGAATCTAGCAGACTTCCAAAATTCTGGACAATCCTTGCTTCGGGAAGAGGTCACTGATCTTGATATTGCTGAGATTGTGAGTAAATGGACTGGCATACCATTATCAAACCTCCAGCAGACAGAGAGAGAAAAGTTGGTCTCGTTGGAACAAGTTCTGCATAAGAGGGTAGTTGGACAGGATATTGCTGTAAAATCTGTGGCTGACGCCATCAGACGTTCGAGGGCAGGTTTGTCTGACCCAAATCGTCCAATTGCAAGCTTCATGTTCATGGGTCCAACTGGTGTTGGCAAAACTGAGCTTGCAAAAGCTTTGGCTGGTTACCTCTTTAACACAGAAAATGCTCTTATTAGAATTGATATGAGTGAGTATATGGAGAAACATGCAGTTTCACGTTTGGTTGGGGCTCCCCCTGGTTATGTTGGTTATGAAGAAGGTGGACAGCTAACTGAAGTTGTTCGTAGAAGGCCTTATTCAGTGGTACTTTTTGACGAAATAGAGAAGGCTCATCATGATGTCTTCAACATTTTGTTGCAATTGTTGGATGATGGAAGGATTACTGATTCCCAAGGAAGAACTGTTAGCTTCACAAATTGTGTTGTGATAATGACTTCGAACATTGGGTCTCATTATATACTTGAAACTCTTCGGAGTACAAAAGGTGACAGAAATGCTTTTTATGATCAGATGAAAAGACAGGTCATTGAGTTGGCTCGGCAAACATTCCGTCCTGAGTTCATGAATCGTATTGATGAATATATTGTTTTTCAGCCTTTGGATTCCCAGCAGATCAGCAAAATAGTTGAGCTTCAGGTAATTTTCCTATGAGTCAAAGTCACCCCAAATGTTCACACACACCCACACAAATTTAAAATATCAAATTTCCTTGATTAGGAAGCCAAAGATACGGTCAATCTAACCTTGCTTTCTAACAAACAAAATTATCTTCTACTTCTGAGATTGGATAGGTAGTTTTTAATGATTTTTCCTATTGAATAATCTACGAAAGAAGTATATGGTACTGTGAGCATCTTCAAGTAATGTAAATTCAAAGTACAGTTGCATGGTTCGAGTAGATTATTCCTAGATCAATCTAAGGGCTACGGTACCCTACGCAGTGTCTATATTCTTCATATTGAGCCCCTAAAATTACAAGGGTTAGCTGTTTTGGAACTCCCAAGAGTGTAATAATTGTCATCCCCATTTATTTTTATTGTTAGAGTTATGAGTTTATGTTTTTGTCTGTGACAGATGGAACGGGTCAAGGACAGGCTCAAGCAAAAGAAAATAGATCTTCATTACACAAAAGAAGCTACGGAACTTCTGAGTGTATTGGGTTTTGATCCAAATTTTGGAGCAAGACCAGTCAAAAGAGTTATACAGCAGTTGGTTGAGAATGAAATTGCAATGGGAGTTCTAAGGGGAGATTTTAAAGAAGAGGACTCCATTGTTGTGGATGCCGATGTGACTCTGACTGCCGCTGACCTACCGCCCCAAAAGAAACTGCTTATCAAGAAATTGGAGAACCCTACTGCGGATGCTATGGTTGCAAATGATTAGTGTTTCCCCCTCTGAGCCCCTTGCTCCCATGTTTATGACTAACAAAATTGTGATCAAGGAATTTTGGGACTGGGATAAGCCCAAAGATTAAAGTGTACTAAGATAAGGATTTTAGTTTTCAGGCTTATTAAAGGTCTGTTTGTTTGTCCGTCTAATTTTAAGTTTTGTTTTATCATTATTTGGAAATAGAACTTTAAATTTGTTAGGTTGATAATGCTCCTTTAAAAATTAATATATCAATAGGTACACCACAAGTTATAGCAAAATAAGCTATTTATGTGCTATGAATAGTGTGGTTTATTTTTTAAATTTTATATATTGTACCCTATTGACTTGGAGATAATATGAAATATGTTTCTTGTTTTATTCACATTGAGAATGAGAAAATATATACACAAGGGAGGAGCCTAGGTATTAATGGCTCATTATTAGGAGATAATATCGTATCATATCTAATCTGATCCTATGCTATCATATCTGATTTCCTATACTAATTACAATGATATTTCATATCTTTACACTCCCCCTCAAGTTGGAGCATAGATGTCAATCATACCCAACTTGTTACAAAGATAGTTAACCCGAACCCCATTTAAAGCTTTAGTGAGGAGGTCACCCAGCTGATCACTGGATCTCACATGTCCTGTTGAAATGAAGTTTTCCTTGAGCTTATCCCGAACAAAATGACAGTCAATCTCGATGTGTTTTGTGCGTTCATGGAACACCGAATTAGATGCTATGTGTAAAGCTGCTTTATTGTCACACCATAGTTTTGCTGGTAATGAGGTTTTAAGACCGACCTCCTTCAATAATTGATATATCCAGACTATCTCACACACAGATTGTGCCATAGCTCTATATTCTGCCTCTGCACTTGACCGTGACACCACATTTTGCTTCTTGCTCCTCCAAGATACCAAGTTTCCTCCCACAAAGACGCAATATCCTGTAGTGGATCTTCTAGTGGCTTTTGAACCACCATGATCAGCATCACAAAAACACTCAATATCTGTGTGACCATGATTTCTGTATAATATCCCGCGGCCTGGGGACCCTTTCAAGTAATGAAGTACATGTTCTAAGGCTTCCCATTGTCTGATAGTAGGTGAGACCATAAACTGGCTAAGTACACTGACTGGATAGGTGATATCAGGACGGGTCACAGTCAGATAATTCAATTTTCCAATCAATCTGCGATACCTTTCCGGATTCTCAAACGGTTTGCTCTTAGCAGCATCAATGGGATCCTCAACTGGTATGCTCCCATCAGCATCAAGCAATGGATTATAAACCATAGGAAAACTGTTTGGTGCAGCCCCCAGCTTCCCCGTTTCCTTTAACAGGTCGAGGACATACTTCCTCTGTGTCAATAGTATGCCTTTCTTACTTCTCAAGACCTCAATTCCGAGGAAGTACTTCAATGGACCCAGATCTTTTGTCTGAAAGTGAGAATTAAGAAAGGATTTGAGTGATGAGATTCCTGAGGAATTGCTCCCTGTAATCACAATATCGTCTACATACACAACTAATAGAATTATGCCGATGTCTGTTCTCTGATAGAACACAGAGTGATCACACTTGCTTTGACACATGCCAAATTTCTGCACAACAGTACTAAACCTGTCGAACCATGCTCGGGGACTCTGTTTCAGGCCATATAAGGATCTCTTGAGATGACATACTTTCCCACGCTCCCCCTGAGCAACAAAGCCTGGCGGTTGCTCCATGTAAACTTCCTCAAGAAGGTCACCATGCAAGAAGGCATTTTTGATATCCAACTGATGGAGATCCCAGCCATAAGTGGCTGCCATAGAAATGAAGAGACGAACAGAGGAAAGTTTTGCGACAGGGGAGAAAGTCTCTGAATAATCTACACCATAGGTCTGAGCATAGCCTTTAGCAACCAAGCGAGCTTTAAGGCGATCAAGAGAACCATCAGCACGGGTTTTAGGGGTGAAGACCCATTTACACCCAATAGCCTTCTTCCCAGCTGGTAAATCAACTAAAGCCCAAGTGCTAGCCTGGTCAAGGGCCGCCATCTCCTCCTCCATAGCTGCACGCCAACCCGGGTGGGCCAAGGCTTCATGAAGGGTCTTAGGCACGGAGACAGAATCTAAGGAAGAAACAAAGGCACGAGAAACAGGGGAGAGGTGGCTATATGAAACAAATGAAGAAATAGGATGGGTGCAAGTACGTGTACCTTTGCGAAGAGCAATGGGCAAGTCAAGGGAAGGGTCTGGTTCAGGAACCGGAGGTGTCTCAGGTGTCGGCTCAGGATGCAAGATACTCAACTCAGGATCTGATGACGAAGCAGATAATGGAGGAGCAGAACCTGGTGCAGTAACAAGGGTTTCCTTGGAACGTCTTGTGTAAACATGAGACACAGGTGGTTGTGCAGGAGGCTGAGCAGGAGCCGGAACCGGAGGTGGTGGAGTTGATAGTGGGACAACAGGATATACTAGAAGGTCATCCTCTTCCGCAGAGGGAGGAGGTACAGGAGAAGTGGAAGGAGAAAAATATGGAACGGATTCCTGAAAGGTGACATCTGCAGAAACAAGATAACGATTAAGAGGAGGAGAGAAACATCGGTAGCCCTTTTGAACCCGAGAGTAACCAAGGAAGACACACTTAAGAGACTTTGGATCTAATTTAGAGACAGAGGGTCGCACATCTCGGACAAAGCAAACGCACCCGAAAATCCTAGGATCAATGGGAAACAAAGGTTTGGAAGGAAAAAGAGTAGTGTAGGGAATGGCACCATCAAGAACGGAAGAAGGCATGCGATTAATGAGGAAGCAAGCGGTGGAGACAGCATCAGCCCAGAAAGGTTTTGGAACCTTCATGTGAAACAAAAGTGCTCGTGCCACCTCGAGGAGGTGACGATTTTTACGTTCGGCAACACCATTTTGAGCTGGTGTATCAACACAAGAGGATTGATGGAGGATGCCATTTTGAAGCATGTAGGACTGGAATGAAGCAGAGAAGTATTCTTTGGCGTTATCACTTCGTAGGGTACCAATGGAAGAATTAAATTGATTCTTAATCTCAGCAGAGAAGGCACAAAAATGAGAAAATAATTCGGAACGATTTTTCATTAAATATAACCAAGTTGTTCGGGAATAATCATCAACAAACGTAACAAAGTATTTGAAACCAGCAGTTGACACAGTAGGACACGGACCCCAAACATCAGAATGAACTAACTCAAAAGGGGATGAAACCCGTTTATTGACTCGAGAGACTAATGGAAGACGATGATGTTTAGCAAACTGACACGACTCACAATCTAAAGATGACAAATATTGAAAATGAGGATAAATCCTTTTTAAAGAAGACAAAGACAAGTGACCCAAACGACAATGTGCTTCAAAGGGAGTGACACCACCGGTACAAGCTACTGCATGCGAACCCTGCTCGTCAAGGAAATAGTGTCCACCAGATTCATAGCCCCTACCAATAATCTTCTTCGTCAAAAGATCCTGTATCAAGCAATGATCAGGAAAGAGTGAGACCCAACAATTTAATTGGCGAGTAAGTTTACTAGGGGAAAGCAGGTTAAATGCAAGGTCAGGGACATCTAGCACAGATGACAAGGGAATGGAAGGGGTAGGTTTAATAGTGCCAGATCCAACTACTCGGGAATGGGAGCCATTAGCAATAGTGATAGTTGAAGGATTGGCGTAAGAATTATAAGTGGAGAAGAGATGGCGGTTACCTGTCATGTGGTCAGTAGCACCAGAATCTATGATCCATTTGGAGGAAGAAGAGACAAGAGCAGTAGCCTCATTACCTGTAGCAGCAGGAGCACTCACGGATGATGTGGAGGATTTTAATTGGGCATATTCATCAGCAGAGATCGTGACCGTGTCCTTAGCTAGCGTTGCCACATGTGCAGAATTATTACGTTGCTGCTTATTTTGCAGCTTACGACACGTACGCTTCGTATGGCCCGGTTCTTTGCAGTAGTAGCATATCACTCCACTCGACTCTGGAGTCGCTCCCCCTTGCCTTGAATTGCCACGGTTAGTCGTCCCACGACTATCATTTGGGCCTCGACCGATTAGTGCACTAACAGGAGCAGTGGTAGGCAGTGATGAAAGATTCTCGGTCCTCATTAGACGGGAGAACACCTCCTGAAGGGTAGGAATCTCAGATCCAGACAGAATTTGAGAGTGAACAGCCTCATACTCAGGCGGGAGACCAGTAAGGAAACTCATGATGGCCATGTGTTCTCGTTGAGCTTGTTGAGCCTTCAGATCAGTAGTTAAAGGCATTAGGACATTCAGTTCTTCATACATTCGTTTGAAGTCCATAAAGTAGGCCTTGAGAGGACGATCCTGCTTTTCTGCACGATAGAACGCTTTGCAAACCTCATAAACACGAGAGATGTTGCCCTTCCCTGAGTATAAAAATTCTAAATAATTCATCAGTTCTTTAACAAATTCACAGTGAGTAACAGAGGGAATAATCTCACTGTCGATAGAGTTGCGGATTTGTAAGAACAGTCGTGCATCATCCCGCAACCATGATTGACGAGAGTCATTTTCCGGGGGATCGTCAGTTAAGTGACCCTCTTTCTCAATGCTTCGCAAGTAGATACGAATAGTCTTACTCCAATCCAGATAATTTGTCCAATTCAATTTGTGTTCAGTAATCTTAACGACTACTGGAACCACTTCAGAAGTAACTGTAGACTTAGTATCACCCATGAGGAATCAACAGAGAGGGTGAACAAAAAGAAAGATTCAAATAGTGACAAAAAAGAAATGAGAAACCACAAATAGTCACACCAGGGACCAACTAACAATCTCCAAACGTAGCCTTGAAACAGATCAATGACCAGAGGCAAGAAAACAGATCTGAATCTCAAACAGAATGCAACAACGTTGCCTCACAAGACCCAAACACTCCGGATCAAGACAAAGAGAGCGACCCAGATCTGAGACTCACCAGGGATGCGCCGGAAAATGGGAGACGAAGTCAAAAAACCGCTCAGACGTCGGAAAACAGGGCGGCGCGTGGACGAACAGTGACGGCGCGTGAAGACTGAGGCGGCGCGTGAGGCTCACGCGCTGCTCGGACGGCGGCGATATTTCGGGGTTCGGCCGGTCGGAACCTCGCAATCCTCCCTGGCCGGCGCGTGCTCCGTTCAGAGGCCAAATAAAGAAGCCCTAATGATGGGCACGAATCTGGACGGCAGGAACAGTGTGTGTACGGCGCAGCAATGTTTAAACAGAGGGAAATTACTCTTATACAGACCGCTCTGATACCATATTGACTTGGA